TGAAAAAAAGTTTATGATTATCTTTTTAAGAAACTACCTACCTGTTTTCCGAAGTGCTATCCTATTTTCCATTCTCATAGCACTGTATGAGGGTTTCAGTTTTTTCACATCGTCACCAATACTTGGTATTGATGTCTTCTTTTTTTAAGATTGATTTTACCTGCTTCTTCCATGAGAGAGGAACAGACAGGTACTCTCAGTAGAGTCTTCATGCCATGAGCCACTCCTAACCTCACCAACCTGGATTGCAGGCACACAAGTGCATCCAAGCAATGTGCCCCGGCAGGTCCCGGGCTTTGAACCCAGGACCTTTCCTGTGTGAGTCCAGTTGTGCTACCACTGTGCCACCCGATGCCTTCTTTATGATAGTCATTTTAGTAGGTCTGTATTAGTTACCCATAGCAGCACTGCAAATTATCCCAAAAGTTAATAGCTTAAAATTAGACATTTATCCCATGGTTTTGTGGGTCAAGAATCCAGGTGTGGTTAGCTAAGCTCCTCTGGCTTTAGGACTTGCACACGGCTGCAGTCTGAAGCCTGACGGGAGGGACCGGCTGCTGTGCTCACAACGGTGGCTGTCAGTAGGATTCTCTTCCTTTGGGTGTAGACGGAGGTCTTTGGTTCCTTGCTAACTGTTGGCTAAAGGCTTCCCTCAGCTTTTTGGCACGTGGGCTTTACCCTGGGCAGCTCACAACGCAGCAGCACTCCATCAGAGCGAGCGAGTGGGGAGAAGAGAGGGTGAGCGAGACGGAAACTAGAATCTTCTGTAGCACCACGCCCCAGATGACGTCCCGTCACTTACATGTGCCTGTCACATTCCTTGTGGTTCTAACTGCGTTTTCCGAACGACTGATAACGTGAGTGCCTTTGCACATGCTCATTACCTATTGGATATCCTCCTTGGTGGAATAGCTGCTCCAATTTTTGCCCATTTTAAAAATTGGGTTGTGTGCCTTGTTTTAAGGGTTTGGTTGCATTTTATATCTTTCTATTATTTTTCTATTGCTGTGATAAAAAAAAAAAGTTAGCAGTTTAAGTGACTCGGTTCTATGACTTCACTGTGCTGCAGGGTAGAAGTCTGGTAGAGGCCTCATCGGACTCACCCCAGGTGCTGGCCACCACATTGCTGTCTAAATAGAAGCTCTAGGGAGACTCCTGTCCATTTGGGTTGCCGGCAGAACTGAATACCTTGCATTGTAGGACTAAGGTCCCCACCTTCTTGTTGGTTGTAAACTGAAGGTCATTCCCAGTTTCCAGAGGCCACTGCATTCCTCAGTTCTTGCCCCTTCCCCCTCAGCCCCCATGTCAAAGTTACATTGTCGCTAACAAATCAAATCCTTCACTGTCCCGACCCGGGGGGGACAGCCGTACAGGTTTCCTGAGTGAAGGAGTGAGAGCCGGGACAAGCGGTATAGTGTTACAGCACGGAGACGACAGTGTCGTCCGTTTATTGTGGGCAGCACGGTACAGCACAGACGACGCAGTGTCACAGCTCTTAAGGGTCG